TTGCGAATTTTTTCCGCCAGATCTTCCATATTCTTCTTCATTTCTTCAAAAGCAGCCTGCAATTTTTCAGTATTTTTGCAAAAAGCAAAAGCTCATTACTGTAAACGAATTGTGTTCGCATCGGTACAGCTGGACAACTACTATGAAATTACGAAGCTAGAAATTTCGGGAAAATATTTTTCACAAAACCATTAAGCCTGGATCTAAGTCATAGTTCAGGAAGACGATTAAAAATATCGAAATAGATTAATCAACTTGACGTAAGTACCACCATTGGTGGCGAAGCCGATCATTCTGTTAGGTACAAACACGGAAAGCCAATAGATATGATGAGGCTAAATTCCCTACAAGTGAACATGACAAATACTCAATTTTTTATAGCTGCCTCAAAAGCGAGTGCATTCTGCGCTTACACCAAGTCCTAGGGCACTTCAACGTTATCTGTAGCAAAGCATTGATTTCGCTTACCAGAAAATCTGCGAAACTAAAGCTTTGGAAGGATATTCTGCATCCACATGTAGCCTAAATTTAGTTTGGCGACTAAGTTTCCTGCATCGCAGACATGACTAATATTCAGTTTTATAGTATTTAAATACATGTATATTTTGACAACTCCGTTATCCTTCTTTCCTGATATTTTGCTCATTGTCCAGTTTGTATTTTTCAATGACGACCGGTCGCCGGCAAAATTTGCGGTAACATGCATGATAGGGGTTAAGATTTCATGCCATCTCATAATACAACAGTGCCACCCTAGTTAAGCCCCTTTTCCTCCGCATGCAAGAAAAAGCCAAAAACACAACCAACACGAGTCCATATGTTAAACTGCAGTGCAACAACCATTCATACCACTTACGACCTGACTGCTTCATGCTTATTGCAAAAAAGCATGATCGCACTGGCAGGCTTGAGGAGTCGGTACCTGGACTTCAAAATGCAGATTTGTCACTGGAGTGACCATAGACTAGCGGCTGACTGGTCAGTTTCCCATAGCCTAATTAACGATAGCACAGATTATTCCCTTGACATGAACCATTTTTAACGATCGCTGCAGCCAGCCACTTTTTCAGTTCACTGAGTATCAACACGGTAGCTAGCGCAGAACACGTCAAAGCGACAAGAGCAGCGACTTTGTCCCGCTTTTTCCACACCTTTATCAAAATTCGAATACTGAAAGAAATAAAGAGAGGTCCACTTAACACCGGAACATCCTGTATGAGTGTTTGATTTTTATAGAAAAGGTGCACCTTGACTTGATCGTTCTGCGAATTGAGCCATTGCTTCAACTTCTCCTGCATGCCATCAATGGTAATTGAGCCATTTTTAACAATATCGAAGAACTGCTGTCGAGCTTCCGGAGTACTCTTTTGCAGGAACGGTGGCAAAAATTCCGGTCGATCGCCCATGTGGGAAAACACTTTTTGTTCCGGAGAACGTAGTATAAATCCAATCGGACCATGATCTGGCGGTGCCGAAGGCGAAGGTTGTTGAGCTATGCATGCAGTAAGGCACACCGCTTCAAGGAAGATAAGAGCTTTCATCATGAGAAAAAACACTGCGTTCTCCGGGACTGAAGCAGTTTCAGAAAGTATCTAGAGTGTGCAAGCTGAGACTACACATATTTATATATGTGATTCTACTACTATTTTGTTATTACAGTGGTATATGAAATAACTAGTTGTTATTGTTACTGTTATCATTTGCTGTATTTCAACTGCGCGCTAATCGCCTCATTAAAAAGCACTTTTTTTATGCGTTTTCAATTAAATTCAGTGGAGCGTTTGGAATCCGAGAATAGCCATAAATAATTGTTCCGGGTCTTCATTCTTTTTGTTGAACTACTTATCGAAAACTTTTTATCACAACTGGTTTCCTTCTCAACTACTAATGTGGAACCTTGTGCCCATATTGAGGTTTATTTTCCTTGTTTTCGTTCAGAATGTTGGATTTTTGTTGAGAATCAACACTGCTTATTATTCGCGTAGGTATTTCTGATAACCAACCGTTTTTTTTAAGAGTTTCAAAACACATCAGAAATTTTTGTGCATTTTCTTAAAAATAAGAGGTTTCCTCAAATTCAAGGACACTGTTAAATGCTCAGTCGTTTTTCTATCGCTGCCATTCGCTTTGCACAAAACAAATTATTCAGTTAGCACAAATTTTTAGAAGTGGAAAATGCAAGTGCTATGTAAGCGAGTAAGTTAACTGATTTAAGACAGTCAGTGTAAGTGCTAGTAATACATGTGGAGTCCCTTTAACAATAAAAAAAGCCAGACAAATTGTAAACCCAGGCTGGAACGCACGGGGTGGGCCCGTGCGACCGTGCGTTTTTGCACCGGACTTAAAATACTCAGGTCATTGACTGCATGAATGGCTTTGCTTTACACCTACCTTTTGCGGC